TGTTGTCCTTCCATGCACTAGGATACAATTATAGTAATTTCATAATTCTGAAATGACTGCTGCCCAGATACTGGGAGAGAGGGTTGGTTGCCATAGTTTTTATTTATAGTTAAAAAATGAGATATGGGAAAAAGAGATGATTTATGTACTGATGATGGACATGTAATTGCTAACGTGAACAAACTTTTGTCGACATTTGAAACAGAGGAAGAACAAGTTAAAGTATGTATGAAAAAATGGCTAAGAATCTTGGTTATATAACACAGATGGGCCATTGGGAAAATATGTTTCTAAAAGAGTTGAAATTTACATTGTGTTCTGATCTTAAAGACATTTTTTAATAAAATGATGTACTGTTGGCACATGATGCCATAGAAACTATCTAGAATGTATGAAGGGACTTTAAATATATTTGTTGCAAATGTTGACAACATGAAGTGATCAGGGGTGGGTTTCATTTACCTTTGCTACTAGTTTGCTCGCGCGCGCACTTTCTTCACTCGTGTGCACACCCCATCTGTGCATGCACAGAAGCTTCTGTGCATGTGCAGATTGTATTTGTTGACATCTGGGTGAGTGGGCGGAGCCTCCTGCTGCCACTGCTACAAGTTCACCCGAACTGGGGTGAACTGGTAGCAACCTACCACTGGAAGGGATGTTTATCATGTTTGGTAGATATTAGTGGTGGGATTCAAAATTTTTTACTACCAGTTCTGTGGGCATGGCTTGGTGGGCATGGCATGGCTTGGTGGGTGTGGCATGGCTTGGTGGGTGTGGCAGGAAAAGGATACTGTAAACTCTCCATTCCCACCCCACTCCAGGGAAAGGATACTGCAAAATCCCCATTTCCTCCTGATCAGCTGGGACTTGGGAGACAGAGAATAGATAAGGGTGGGGCCAGTCAGAGGTGGCATTTACCGGTTCTCTGAACTACTCAAAATTTCTGCTACCAGTTCTCCAGAACTGGTCAGAACCTTGGTGGATATGCAAAAAAAGCTTTGAAAAAGAATATAACTATATACTTTGGAACCAAGGATTTTACAGATCACTATTTCCAGTTGATAGATTTTGCTGAAATTAACTTCCTTTAATATAGAAATCTATCTCCATTTATTGAGGAACTGGGAGCCTTTTATGGGCTTTTTGCATAAAAATGAAAAAAGGAAAAAAAAAGAAAATGTGAATGCTCCAAAATTGGAAGTTTTTAAGAAGAGAATGGACAATCATTTGTTCGAAATGGTATAGGGTTTCCTGCCAGAACAGGGGGTTGGACTAGAAGACCTCTAAGGTCCCTTTCAACTCTAATATTCTGTTCTGTTCTGTTCTGTACTATTTTTGTGATATATTGTTTTGATGATTAGATAGGATAGAGGAATATTTGGTATAACTTTAGAGCAGAGGTTATTTGTATTTAAAACTGCTAAGAAGTCATTTCTTTTTTTGTTTTGTTTTTCTCCTTTCTACTACTTTAAACTTCTTTTTTTTTCTTGCATATTTTGCTTTTCTTTGATTTCTTTCTTTTTATTTTTACTTTCTTACTTTCTATTAGTTCGTATTCACTTTTATCTTGTTGTTGAAAAGATTTAGTAAAAAAAATACACTTAAAAAAAGAATATCATGGACTGCAAGAGTCCATTTTAGCCTAAAATAAAATCAGAATGTTCATTTCTGAATAAAAGGCTAAGGGGTGCTGTGAACAATTTATTAAAAAAACTAAGATAAAAAGCATATTTAAAATTTAGATTTTCTTCCTTCATTCCTTCCTCCTTCCCTTCTTCCTTTCCATCCTTCTCTTCTTCCCTTCCTCCCTCTTTCCCTCTTTCCCTTCTTCCTCCCCTTCTTTCTTTCCCTCCCCTTCTTCCTTTCCCTCCCTCCCTCCCGCCTGGCAAGATGGCTCAGTGGCTAAGACACTGAGCTTGTTGATCAGAAAGGTTGGCGGTTTGAATCCCTAGTATAGGTCTCCTGAGTGAGCAGGGGTTGGACTAGATGACCTCCAAGGTGCCTTCCAACTCTGTTACTGTACTCCCTCCCTGTCCCCCCCCTCCCTACCTCTTTTCCTTCCTATTCCATGAAAAAGCTATTTACTGTAGCAAAAATAGTTAGAAGTGATACAATTTGCCTGGATAGAGGAACAAGTTTCAAAGCTGGGATATTATGAGGCTTAATAGTATCAGATATGGTTTTCTTGATCAGATGATCAAATGCTAAACCATTGGTTCAATATTACAGTGAGCCCAGTTTCTAAAGCAGAAACTTCTTGGGTGCCTTTGGCCAGTCATTTTCTCACATCCCAACCTACTTGAAGAGTTAATTCTCTGAGGAAAATTTGTGGCGGGAGCACTATCTTTGTTCTTGAACTCCTGAAGGATAGTAGGATATTAATCTAATAAGCAAAGAAACATATCTTACAGCCTAGGTCTTGCTGTTGAGGAACAAATTTCATCCTTTAAAAGCTTTATAGCTATCATTTACAAACAGTCTCTTTTGACTCTTTGTGACCTGGTGGCATCAATTCACCAGGAATATTTGCTTCTTTGAGGTCTTGCAAGCTCTTGCATGTATCATCAATGATAAAAACTACCCATCTCATCTTTTGTCTGTCTTTTTCATTTTTTGGGATAGCCTTCAATTATTTTAAACATCAGGCTCTACTCCAATGACTCTTGTCATCATAGTACATGACCAAAGTAATCAGATTTTAGCTTTTTTTTTACTACAGCTTCCAGTGAATATTCTGGTTTTATTTAAGCTACAATGAAAAGATTTGTTCTTCTTGCAATCCATGGTATTCTTAATATTTTCTCTAATACTGCAGTTTCAAAGCATCAGGTTCATTTCATTTAGCCTTTCTGATAGTCCAGCTTTTGCAGCCATATCTTACAGTTGCAATACATATTTTGTTTTCAGAATATGTTTCTTCACTTTAATATTTTTCTCAGATTTGACTTTCTCTGTCTCCCAAGATGTCCCTTTATTCCACAGCTACAATTTTGTTGTATGTATGTATGTATGTATGTATGTATGTATGTATGTATGTATGTTTTTAATTTTGTGAAGCCAGTCAGAATCTCTATATGTCTATAAAAATTCTCAGTTATCCAGTCATGGTTGTCCCAAAGGTGCTTTCTCAAGAGGTAACTGGACTTTTAATTTTTTCTTTGAAGATGTTTCGCTTCTCATCCAAGAAGTTTCTTTAGCTCTGACTGGATGGTGAGAAAAGGAATGATTTATACTCCTGGTACAGCTGGTCATTTGCATTCTTTTAGAGAGTAGTTGAAGCCTCCAGGAGGTCTATCTGTTTATCTTTATTAATATTTTTCTCAGATTTGACTTACTCTATCTCCCAAAATGTCCCTTTATTCCACAGCTACAATTGTGTTGTATGTATGTTTGTATGTATGTATGTATGTATGTATGTATGTATGTATCTATTTAATTTTGCAAAGCCAGCCAGAATCTCTATATGTCTATAAAAATTCATCAGAGTCACCTGAAGAAGCTTCTTGGATGAGAAGTGAAACGTCTTCAAAGAAAAACCAGAAAGTCCAGTTGCTGCTTGAAAAAGCAGCAAATTTGGGCAGCCAGAATCATTTTGGGAGCTGAGTGAAGATAAAGTATGAACTATTTGAATACTTTGAATGCACCGGACTAAATCCCCAATGTTTTCATGATAGGCCTACTAATATTAATTTAAATATTTCTAAGAGGCAGGATAATATACTTGACTGGTGTTTTAGTGCTAAATGACTATATCAGCAATTCAAAAGTAGACAGGCAACAAACCAATGTCACTTTGATTGCCTGAAATAGTGGGGTTTCACAGAGCACCAGGGTGGAACAAATGTTAGCCCTACTGGGGTGTCCATACAGGAAACACAGCCAAATAAACAAATTTCACTTTATTGTAAAGCTACATTAACAGAATCTTGCAAGTATGAAAGTACAATTCTGCTGTTACCTTTGAAGCCTGATAACTCCCTTCTGAGCCTTTTTCTAGTATAAAGCTGGGTTATGGTTCCTCTTATCCCTCTTATCTGACCATTTCCTAGGGAAGCATCTTTTTCCTGGTCCCCAAGGTCCTCCCATATATATTACAGTAAGGTTGTGGTATTCATTTCAGGGCCAATGAGGCAAAAGTATCCCCAGAGACTACAATACCACCTACCTAAGGTCATTGTTCCTTAATGACTGGTCAGTTAGTAATCTTTCAAAGTTACAACCCAATTTTGAAGTTCCAGTGACATCCCTACTGTCTTTCACACATACACAAATGAATACATGACTGCATTTTGGATATTTGGCAACTAACTCAACTTTTCAGCCATTTGCAATGTCCTGCAGTCATGTGACCATGATATATTTACTTTTTTTTTTTTTTTTGCTGAAACTGGAATGTTTATTCCAGTTTCAGGCAAAAAAAAATGCATATTGGATAAAATAGATTTACTTAATGACTACTGAATTTGTTTGACAACCACTTAACAACTGCCACAAAAAAGGCCATAAAATGAGGTGCAGTCATACTTGTTTAATGTTCACAATAATTTACGACCATAATTCCAGGCTCAATTACCATTATAAATTGAGGATTACCTGTAGATGGGAAAATATATATCTGTATTGTGGCTAAAATCCTAATGTGCATCTGAGTTGGGCCAAATTCCTTTCATAACACAATATTAAAACACAAAACAAATACTATGTCTCATTTCAGCTTCCTCTATTCAAAACCCTCTGAAAACCAACTAGTTGGAAGTATTGGTTACCTTTTTGTTTTGCACACTTTTTCTTGGATAAAGAAATATTTCTAAAATTATGAAATATGACACCAGGTGAAGTTATCTGCCCTTACAGTTACCTGCCCTTACAGATAAGCTGCTTTTTTAAAGAAAACATCAGGTTATTATTGTTCAAATCACCAAACTAATATTAGCATTCAGAGTTATTCATACATTTATCAAGGTAGCAGTAAGCACAATCTGCTACATGGTTCATTGTATTCCAATATTACTGAATGCACATTGACAAGCAACAGATAGGAAAGGAGAAACACAGACAATAAATAAGAATTACAGGCAGCAGCAGCTTCCACAAGAGGAATGAATGTTAACATAAAAGTATCCATTTTCTTCACTGCACCTATTGATTTATCCATTGCTCATATTGCTGCTTCATTTCTCCATGGAGTCCTCCACATGGATTTTCAGAACTCAGAAAGCTTGTAAAAGTCCATCCACCATTCAAAATGCTGTCTCATCTCCAACCGCATCCCCTAGAAATGAAAAGTGTCTGCGATAGCAATTACTTTGGATTTTTCCCCCCATAAAATATATCAAGCAATTTATGACCTTGGATCTATTTAAAATGGAACCTTAGGAGGGAATAAGATACAAGTGGGACAATGAAACCTTTCTGTTTGCAAGATTTCCAATTGTAATGGCAATGAGAGGCAACCTATATTGGGCTAAAGCAGGGGTTGGCAACCTTAAACACTGAAAGAGCCACAAAGGCCCTAACCGGAAGCCCCCCCCCCCCATTCAATTCTGGAGCCAATCGAAAGTCCGGTTCCCCCCACCATAGTGTCTCCTCCTAGTGCGGCATCCTTTTTCCTCTACCTATCCTAACTGAAAGCCCTATCAATTGCGAAGCTGACTGACGACAGGGAGCCGCAGCAGAGGGATGAAAGAGCCACATGCGGCTCCAGAGCCACAGGTTGCTGACCCCTGGGCTAAAGGGATCTCTGTCTGTAGAGAACCAGGGAGACAGCCTTGAACAATTTGGACTGCCTCAAAGGGCTAACACTTTGACAGGGATCATCCTTAAACATATCCACCCTCTTCACTAACAATATCTGTGATCACAGCCTAATTCAACAACACAGACATTTGTGGGACTAAGAAATTAGGGTCGTGAGAAGTCATGCCAATGTTTATAGCTATGCATTTTGCTTTGTTGATGTGTAGCTACTAAATCATATCTGACTCTTTTCAACTCCATGGCCCATAGCATGACAGTCCTGTGTTTACTGTTTCCCAGAGTTTATTATTCATGTTCATTGCATTGATGACATCTAACCATCTCATCTTCTGCCATTCCCTTTGCCTTTTAACTTCAATTTTCCCCAACATCAGAGTCTTTTGCCAATGAGTCCCCTCTTCTCATTAGGTAGAGAAAGTATTTAAGCTTCAGCTTCAATATCTGTCCTTCTAAAGAATAGCCAGGGTTAGAACATTCTGGTGGAGAAATAGGAGGATAACACTTTAGGGCATCAACCAAAGATGCCCAGTAGTTTAATGCCAACCTATTCAGGACAACCAAGTAGGTTAACAAAAGTGGAAACTCTAATAGACTTCTTAACTGTAAACATCTCTAGTAGACATCTTAAACTGTAAATTAAGATTAAAAGTCTTGACATATTTAATTTATTAACTTGCACTCTTATCTTGTTTCTTGAAAAAGCTGCGTTTAAGAAAATCAACCTATCTTTAAGAAAGTTAAGATAAAACCATTTGTGGTCATTTTAAAAATGGATGAATAAGATGCTTAATTTGGGGAGCTGAATTCTCTGTTTTATATATTTTGAGTTCCAAAACAGTGGGAAGGAGAAGAACTTCTTTCGTTCTGCTAAGGAATTAAAGATTATCTTGATTAGAAATAGTCATTGGATTCTTTCTGGGCAAGATGTGAATGATAAAAATAAACAGACAATTTTCTGAGTCATCTTTAAATTATTCTCCATAGTAACCGATTCCATATGATGAGCTGTTTGTCTATAAAAAAAGTGAGGGCAGTCCATAGCTGTAAATTATGTACAGTACTTCCAGACTTATGTAGCTCCTAATTCTTTCACAAATTATCAAAATTGAGCATCCCTTTTTACTAAAATTCAAGAATGTGGTTTCCTGTAACACAAACAAAAAGCAATAACCTTTTGAAGACATTAAATTTAATCATTATTCAGTTCAAATTGGCTCTTTTCCTTAGCTTATTTCTTTTATTTTTTTCATATCTCAACCTAACCTTTCATATTTTAACATTTCTTATCCTATCTTAGCCTAACCTGATTGTGCTAACCTTCATTTTGCTGGTATGACTCATGGTACATAATTCAAATAAAGTTTTCAGTCCAAAATAAGTCTGACAATAATCCCAGAGCACACCCTTGATTGATTGATTGATTGATTGATTGATTGATTGACTGAATAAATGAATGAATGAATGAATAAATGAATGAATGAATGAATGAATGAATGAATATTGACAAGAGAAAAGGATGGCCTAAAAGTAATGCCAAATGTTACTGACAATCTAGTACAAATAAATGACTGGCTCAAAATAAATAAATCCATTACTCCCTAATCAAGCTGCTTAGGAGCAATACAGGGCATGCTCAAAGATAATTTGCATTTATGGTGGTGAATAAATTGATAATTGGCAAAATGTCAATTAACTGAAAAACTAGAAAAGGATAACAGCAACAACATATGGACTGCCAAGATCTTAATAATTGGAGACTTTTTTAATTGGAGAGAGAAGGGGGGAAAGGGAGGGGAGGGGAGGGGAGAGGAGAGAGATCTTACCTGTTGTAGCGGCAAGCTATCAACTCTCCTAAGAACTTTCTTGTCTACAAGAAATAATTTGTATCCTAATCAAAAATACAAAAGTACAAACAGTTTAATGAAATGGGGCATTTTCCTAGCTGCATCCAAGTCTTCTAAGACAGTGATTGCCTGAAATAAATATTCATTTTTTCATTCTTAGTCATTAGGGTTTTTTGCAAAAAGTAAATATACATTCAATGACTTTCCAACGAATCTCCTTAAGTGATCACATCTTGCAGTAAAATCCATATGTTGGCTAGACACAAACCTGTAATGCCTCTTAAACAGGAGAAAAATGGAATGTATTTATAAGCATTAATACAATTTACATCAATGGTCCCCAACTTTTCCAACTTGGCGGCCCGGGAAGGGAGGAGGGGGGAACTGGGCCATGTGAGTAGCAGGCTGGTGCGGACACATACTCACAACTCAGCTCGTGTGAGAACCAGACTGGCACATAAATGCATGTGCACCAGTGGTAAAATCCAAATTTTTTTACTACTGGTTCTGTGGGCATGGCTTGGTGGGCACGGTGTGGCTTGGTGGGTGTGGCAGGGGAAGGATACTGCAAAATCTCCATTCCCACCCCACTCCATGGGAAGAATACTGCAAAATCCCCATTCCCTCCCCACTCCTAGGGGAAAAATACTGCAAAACTCCATTCCCTCCCCACTCCTGGGAGAAGGATATTGCAAAATCTCCATTCCCACCCCACTCTGGGACAAGCCAGAGGTGGTATTTGCCACTTCTCCAAACTACTCAGTTTCTATTTCTACTACCAATTCTCCAGAACTTGTCAGAACCTGCTGGATTTCAACCCTGATGCGCACCCATCTCAACTTGCGCAAGTTGAGCTGTGCACATATGCAGTCCAGTTGCAAATAAGCTGCAGCCCTGATTTACTGTATAAAATGATGGAGTAGCTCCGTGATGGCAAACTTATGGCACGTGTGCTGGAAGTGGTACACAGAGCCATCTTTCAGGCATGCCAGCCATCACCCATTGCTCTTCTGGTTTCTGGTGTGTGCATGTGCTCTGGCCAGCTGGTCTTTGCAAACACGCCAAAAACCAGAAAACCAGGTGATCAGCATGCATGTGCATGCCGGAAACCGGAAGATTAGCTTTCCAACGCCGCATGCGCACCAAGGAGCAGCTCTTCCAATTTCTGGCGCTTCCCCGCGTGCTCCCCCGCTCTTGCATTGGCATGGGAAAAGGTTGGCCAACACTGGAGTAACTATTTCAATTGACCAGATCCTTATCAAGATCAAATAATCATAAATTCATGTTCTAACTTTTTTCTATTTCTTTTTTCTCCAACTTAGAATCAGGCTACTTTCAGGACCAACTTCTTGATGCAGAATCATTCCATTAAATTCAAATAAACAGAAGATATTGTTGATAATATCTCACTAGCAACAAATCAGGGTTGTAGGAGATGCTTCTCCACTATGGACCCTATTTTATGCAACAGCTTTTCAAGGAAGTTCAGCTTGGCCCATCCTTCCTGACTCCGATTTCATTTCTTTTTTTAAAAAAAAGACCTCCTCAAAGCCTTTTAATTAATTAATTGATATAGCACATTGAATTGTTCATTGATATTCATGCTGTTTTAATTTTAAATCATTGTAAGGTATTTGTGACTTTATAATTGTAATTTATATTATTGTACTTTGAATGCTGTTATTTCTGTAAAATGCCAAAAGACACAAAATTATAGCGTTTTTTTTTTTTAAGTTTTATCAAATGAATAAATAGCACTGGAGAATCTGTTATTTTATTTATTCTTAATATATATTCTTCATTAGCGGTAGCTAAATTGCTCCCTCTGATCATTCAATCATTGATATTACTTAAGGTGAACGTCAGCAATACTTTTTCCTCCCATGTTTTTAAAATTTAAAAGATATCTACCATTTAATGAGATTGTCAAATCCTTTAAGAAGTGAAGAGTTGAAGGAGTTTATTCACTCAAAAGCTCTTAAGAGATTTTGAATCAAAACAGTAAAAACATGAGTAATTTAATTTGAAACTTGGAATCTTTTTAGCAATAGGGTAAGAATTCAGATACTTTAACATTAATTTAACATTAATTTTAATTGCTTGTTTTGATATCATGGGACCATAAAGAAACCATCTCGAGGAGTTATGAATAGTTTGATTGTCTTCTTGTGCCATATCCATCATCGGACATTGGTGATCACGTTGGCAATCCTATTTTTATCAACAGCCGCATGAAAAGGTTCTATTGAGTTTTGTCCAAACCAGTCCCTTAGGTTTTGAAGCCATGATGTTCTTCTTCTGCCTGGACTTTGTTTGCCATCAATCTTTCCCTGGAGGATTAAGTGAAGTATGCCCTATTTTTCCGGGTGTCACATTACATGTCCAAAATATTCTAAGTTTCCCTTTTTTGATAGTTTGATGCCCACAGCAAATTTATCTTGCTCTTGGTGCTACATTTCCTTTATATTTTTAATGCCATTTTCCATCAGAATGGTCCAGAAGGCAGCATACAAACCCAGCCTGCAAAGCATATACCATATTTTTTGGAATATAAGACACACCTGAGTATAAAACGTATCTTAATTTTTGGGGAGGAAAATAGTGGGGGGGAATCTGCCTACCAGGTATTTTATCCTCTGCTTGGGGATAAAAAACAGCTTCTAAGGCCACAGCTGAGTGGAAGCAACAATGAGAAAAGCAGGCAAAGCATGAGGAGATTGCTTCAATCGGCTAACACCTAGTTAGGGCTGAAAAAAGCTTCTAAAGAACAGCTGAGAGTCGGAGCAATTCTGGGAAGATCGCTTCCATTAGCGTCTCATTAGGGCTGAAAGAAAGCTTCAAAAAAGCTACATTCAGAGTATAAAATGCACCTAAATTTTCAGCCTCTTTTAGGGGAGAAAAAGGTGTGTTTTATACTCTGAAAAATATGATACATAATTGCATTGCATAACCCATAACCCAAGGTTTAAAAATGTTTAATGTAAATTCTTGGTGGAGAAGACAGAGATATAATACCAATCTATATAGATTTTTTATTTTTATTTTTTAATTTATTTTTTGAAATGTAGGAAGAATTGGCTCATGTCCCCATCCCAGAGAAACGAGGGTGCGGTCCAGTTTCAAAATTTTTTACTACCGCTTCTGTGGGTGTGGCATGGCTTGGTAGGCATGGCTTGGTTGGCGTGGTAGGGGAAGGATACTGTAAAATCTCCATTCCCTCCACACTCCAGGGAAAGGTTACTGCAAAATCTCCATTTCCTCCCGATCAGCTGGGACTTGGGAGGCAGAGAATAGATGGGGGTGGGGCCAGTCAGAATTTTTACTTCCGGTTCTCCAAACTACTCAAAATTTCCACTACCAGTTCTCCAGAACTGGTCAGGACCTGCTGAAACCCACCTCTGTTGCAGTTGAATGCAGAGAGAATCCAGCTTCTTGAAAAGAAGGTTCTCTTTATTGGTGGTCAGAAGTGACTTCAGCAATTGGTTCTGGATAGCTGACAAAACAGTCTGGTGAGTGGATGGGTTTTTATGTGGTTTTAGGGCTTTGTTATCTAGATGTCCAGGTTCCTTGTAAAATGTACTTTAATCTGTGCTTGAGTGTGCCCTTTTAATATCTTAATTATTGTTGCCTGACTCCTATTGTGGCTGAGAAATCATGTCCTGTCCTTGGAACTGGGTGGGAAATATAGATTTTAGATGTCTTTTGTCTCCCTGCTTTTTAGTCTGATCAATTCCAGCTTTCTATGGCTGAAGGCATTTGGTTTATGAATGGATCAGTTTGTGAAACTAAATCTCCATTCACAGGGGTTGGCTGCTTGAGTGGTTTTACTTCAGTGAAGTCTTTTCTCTTTGTGGGGGGGGCATTTATTTGTTAATATGGGGGCTTTCTTATATTAAAAGGGAGGTGGGGATTCTCTCTACATCAAAGCTCAGAAGAAAAGAAGTTAGGCAAACCAATTCAAAGCTTAAGTATTATACTGATCCATGATCTATTTCAAATCATGAGATGGACAAAGATCAAAGCCATATACCTACCTCCATCCATGCACACACATACAAAATTGGACTGATGGCCATGTTGACTTGCTTCCTGTTGCTATAGGATCACTATTATATACTATCTAATAATAATCATGGCTATATAGTAATTTATACCCAGATGGGCCTTCAAGCACAAGTCCAGGCTTTTGCAAGACCAGGGACAGCTCTAAGGTCAGGATGGTGATTAAATAATAAATAAATCACAGACATTTATAGCAGGGATGGATTCTAAATCCCGTCGCTACTGGTTCGCTCATGCAAGCACGCTCATGCATGCGTGTACACAGTGTTTCTGCGCAAGCACAGAAGCATCCTGGCAGGTGGGCAGAGCCTCCCACCAATGCCGCTACCAGTTTGCCTGATCTGGTGCGAACCGGTAGCAACCTACCACTGATGTATAGCAAATAATTCTTTACAGAGGTGAGACATCTGAGATCTTTTAGAACCTCTTATCCTTCTTCCCTGGCTAGACTGAAACGATGGAAGTTGCTGTCTATTTTGGCTCTAGATTGAACCTTAAATAAGGTTGCACTTCTGATTGAATTTTTTAACTAGTGCCTTTGCCTGTTTAAGTAATTAATGGGTGTACATGCATTTAAAGCACTTTATACCCATAAGTTAGGAGACAATGAAAGGATGGACTTCACATTGACCAGGATTAATGGAAAAATCTGGTGCTGATGATGAAGATAATTCCTTCCAGGTTTTTTTTTCTTTAAATCTGTGGTCTGATAGATCCCATTTTATCATGCAGATTCATGACAATTCAATAATATTTGCCTCCAGTGAATTTTGACAGACTGCCCAAATCAGCTTCATTTTGTGGTACCTATTAGAAGAATAGACACACTTTTCATGGAAAAGATTATACATTTAAATGCCCCATTTCTTTCCCTCTCTGATTATTCTGCTGAACATGCATTGCTTACTCAGCAGATAGCTGACTTGTGAGTTGCACTTACCAAAGAATAACAATCTTGAAGAACTATTGCTCCCTGAAAATGGATTTGAGAGTTGGGTTTGTTTTTGTTTAGGCTGGAAAGGCAGCAGTTGCAGCACTCTTTGCGAGCCAACTCTGTTATGACTTGTCTGTGTTTAAATGAAAGAGTTTTGGTTGCTTCATCTTGAAAATATATCTTCTCGATGTATGGAGCAGGGCCTATCGCAATAGCATGCTGGTACTGAAAAAAAGAAAGAACACATTCCATTTTTACTACATTTTTTAAAAATACTTTCCTATTGACAAACACCTCCTGGGGCTGACTGAATTAAAAGCTCAGATTTTGTACCCTTTTTGAACAGGGTAGAAATACTTCCGTGTACCTCAGTGGTGGGTTTCAAAATTTTTTACTACCGGTTCTATGGGTGTGGCTTGGTGGGCGTGGCATGGCTTGGTGGGCGTGGCTTGGTGGATGTGGCAGGGGAAAGATACTGTAAAATCTCCATTCCCACCCCACTCCAGGGAAAGGTTACTGCAAAATCCCCATTTCCTCCCGATCAGCTGAGACTTGGGAGGCAGAGAATAGATGGGGGCGGGGCCAGTCAGAATTTTTATTACCAGTTCTCCAAACTACTCAAAATTTCTGCTACCAGTTCTACAGAACTGATCAAAACCTGCTGAAACCTCTGATGTACCTACACCACCACAAATCAGTGTAAAGATCTAATAATTCACTTCTATCTATGGTGTTCACTAAATATAAGCAAAGATTGACTATGCTCACATATAAAGGATGGCCACGCAGCACAAAAATCCATGTATGATTTCAAGACGTGGTGGCGATAGCAATGCAAATATGACAAAATTGTATGCAGGCTGATTGGTTAAACTGGAGAATGGTCCCTGAGGTTTTAAAGCACGCATCCTAAATTTTATTTTACAGTGAGGACATTGATTAAATGGTAGGATAAATCATTCGATAGGCTTTTCCAAGGTTCATCAAGCCAAGAATTTTGTTTAGAAGCATGATGTAGTTGAACAAAGCTGTTATATAGCTGGTCATTTGCATTCTTTTAGCCTTAAGGCTCATACCAATTTGCACAACTCAGGTGACCCTGATGACACAGATAAACCTCCAGGTGACTTTAATGACCTGCTAAAAATATGCAAATGACCAGCTGTCTGCAAGGAGTATAAATCCTTCCATTCCCCACCATCCAGTCAGAGCTGAAGAAGCTTTCTGTCAAGTTTCTGAAAGATGCCCTAATTAATTCATGAGCCATGATCCAAACTTCAAAGGAAATATAGTCATTTATTAGGAGCACCATTCCGGCAATACTTGGATGCAGTTAGGACTGATCCTACATAGATTTACGTTCCCCTATGACCCTATCTCTCCCCTCCTCTCTGGCCATGTCATAAATCACATTCTCCAATTAACCACTTTGGCTGGCTGTGAAACCTAACACCCTCCTGATTGCGGTCAGAAAGAATGTATGGAATTCACTTCAGTTCTCCCTCCCTCCTGCTCATGGCAACTTGAAAGCTTTGCAAGTTGACACTTCCTGGATGAGAAGTGAAAGATCTTCAAAGAAAAAAAAACAGAAAGTTCAGTTGCTTCTTGAAAAAAGCACCTTTGGGACTTGCAGCCTTTACAACATTCCCATAGTCACATAATCAAAATCCAAACACTTGGCAATTGACTCATATTTATGATGGTTCCAGTGTCCCAGAATCATGTGATCAACATTTTGCGACCTTCTGACAAGCAAAGTCAATGGGGATGCCAGATTCACTTAACAACTCTGTTACTATCTTAACAACTAACAACTAAAGTGATTCACTTAACAACTGTGGCACGGAAGGTCATAAAATGGGGGCAAAATTCACTTTACATCTGTCTCTCTTAGCAACATAAATTTTGGACTCAATTACTGCATGGTCATAACTTGAGGACTATCTGTATCAGTGTAGACCATACCATCAGAATCTACACTATGATACACCTCTAAAATTTATTTGGGGCCTTTGCTTAACTTAAGTGAGTAGGGATCTGGCTAGTCTAAGAGAAAAGTACTTCACAACAAAGTCAACAATCTGATTCTGCATTCCACCCCCCCCCCCAATCCAACATCTGAGACAACATCTGGGCTTTGGGTGGCATGCTAAGGACCACATTTCAAAGAGTAGTAGGTGGGGGGAACAAACTCGAATTAATTTCCTTTACTTTCACATCTAATTAAAATTAAAGATAGCTAATATGATTACACTTTCTTTCATAATGTTCCCAGTCCATCATATTAAAAATTGCAATCTATTCTACATAAAAGGAGCAACTCATTACATCACCTGGCTGCACTATCATTTGAAGGCATCCTATAGTCTACCTCTAGGTAATTGCATCCTGCTTCTCTTTGATTGACTTTTTGTTATCTTAAAGAACAATATGCAACATATTCTGGGCTGTAAATGTGAAGATCACCTTATGGATTTCTTTTAATCTTCCATTAGCAAAGGATTCTATATGGATGTTATTTTGACAATCTTTTTCAACCCCAAACTGGGAAGCTTGTAGACATTTGCCTCTGTTTTTCAGAGAGCCCATAACTCAATTTAATGGAATCTAGTTGTTATGACCCAGGAGATTCTCCCTGACTTCATCTAACAGCGTAAAGTGGTATATCTAGCAGTGGAGAATATATGGGGCTGAGGGTTGAATTGTTGAGATTCTGATGTTTTCTGAACTTCATTGTTTTCCTGCAAACTTATAATTACGAGACTAGCTAACATTATCAGTTCATGGGAGAATGAAATTTGCTGGTTGTGTGTCTGGTTGTTTATAAACTGGTATAGTTGTTTATGAGCTTGTTGTTTATAAGGTAAAGTGGATTATGTTCTAAATTCAACCATTTTCCTCAGCATTTCTCCACCACCACTACCGTATTTATTTATTTATTTTGATCTACGAAGAAAATTCAAAAACCTGAAGTCACTTTATAAAACCACAGTTATCATATTAAAACATTGCCTCCATGGATTTGAGATTCTTTTTTAGTATGACTAGTAGTGTTACTATTGCTTTTTAGGCTGATATGAGAGCTGTGAATTAGAGGCCTGCCTATCAGAGAATTCCCTGGAAAAAAAAATGGTTATTACATGGAGTTAATTTTATAGAATAAATATGGCTTTGCAGTGTATCCAATATAGCTCGGAAATCTTCAAAGCCATGTTTAGTTTTCCAAGGTAATGAAAAGCAAAGATCAATTTCTTTGGCTATTTGTCTTCTAAATAACTCAGGCAGAGAAGGAAAAGGTCTCCAATATTTTTGCCATAGCCAAAGGAGATTGAACTTAAGAACCTAGGTATTGTCATCTCTGCCTTTCTATCACAGCTGGTGACGGTGGTAGTAAATGATCTGTCACAAAGCCGGAAAAAAAAAATAACCAAAGTTTTAGGGCCGTGTGGGTTAAAAGACATCAACATCTTAAACCCTACTTGGAAGAATGCAATTTTCTCCCTCAGTAACCATTTGTACCTCAAAGCATAAAGCAAATAAACTGGGTCCCTTAAAACCTTTCTCTCTATTCCCTGAGAAAGTGGGAAAGTATCATACTATTTACACAAGTTGCCTCACAGGTGCCAACGGAAGAACCAAAGGTCAAAAACCTGGGGAGACTATTGATGAAGCTTCCGTTGGAAAGAAACGGCTTCCCCATCCCAGTAAACTATGAGGATAAAGGTCATAGTCATGTGGGGACTTCAAGTGAAAGGTGGCACTTTAGGAGAACTGTCAACTCAGCCAGGAGAGGTGAGTGAAAAAGATGGATGGGAAAATTTGCAGTGCCATCGTTGGGACCACCAAATGAGACTTGTTCTGCATCAAACACAGGATGGGCTTTTGATTTTGATTTCCTTCTTGACAGGCAGTCAGGAAGAGAAGAATGATTGAGATTCTGCAATAGCATCTGCAATACCAGCCATTTGAAGTGGGATTGACAGAAAAGTTAATAAAATACACCACATAGAAAACAAGGTTCAGTAACTATGAATTCATTTTAATAGGTTTTTTTTTTTTCTCCCAGTGTATATTGTGTATGAAACGTAAGTCATTCTAGATCTGGAATCTATAGTATCTTTCTGGTATCTGAACCAATTCTGTGTTTCTCCCTTTCTTTCCTCAAAATATTATCTGAAAGAGTCTTCCCTGATTCCCCTTCTCATTTTTTGATACCGTTTTAAGCATGAAACACTTCTTGTTCATGATTTTTTATTAAAGGGGATTTGACCTCAGTCATGAAGAATTTCTGCTAGAAATAAGGACTCGATAGGTAGATAAAAATGTGAAATCCAGTTTAAACACCTGGTTGACTATGCAATGAACTATAATTATAATTATACTAATAAAGTAATAGAAAATGAAAAAGCTAAATTGCTCTGGGATTTTAAAATTCTAACAATAGGCACTTGTCATATAACATCTCAGACTTAACAATTGTTGATAAGAAGTGTGAACAGTGAATCTGGAAGTACCAGAAGCAACAGAATAGAAGAGAAAGAACTGAAGAAAATCACAAAATACAAATAGAAACAAACAGAACTATGGCAAAATAAAACAAAGCTAGTTCCGATAGTGATAGATGCCTTAAGTGCAATCCCAAAGCAACACCAGTTGAACACAATCAACATTGATGAAATCACTATCAGTCAATTGCAAAAGGCAGCTTTACTTAGAACAGATTACAGCCTGTGATGATACCTTTAACACTATCAAACAACAACTGTCTAACTCAGGTCCTTGGGAAAGGCTTGATAGGTGGGTAAAAATACCAGATCCAGGCTAAATATCTGGCAGATTGTGCGATGGATCATAATAATAATAGGCTCACATTGAGAACATCAAGGTTCTGTATCCCATTGCTGCTTCAGCGAGCTCCCAAGTTATGGATGTTGGTCTTTCAATAATAAAACTGTTTTTCATATGTCAGTTTCCCTAAACTGTCGTGAAGGTAGGAGGCTTAATTGGGAAATGACTGCTTTGCTACCTGTATTTCTGCACTTACTGTTTTCATCTGTGAACATATATAAAGCTAAATTCATCCCACAGGAAACTCTATGGATTTCTGTGATGAATTTGCCTCATTTTGTTCTATTAAATTGTCATTACATAAAATTATATACCAGCATAATGCACCTTGGGAAAATAAAATGCTTAATCATCTCAGAACTCAATTCTCATTATTG